AAGCGCTCCGTCCGCCTCGACAACTGGCACAAACTTGGCATTCTTGTCTGCGGACAGGCAAATCTGGCGGTCGGTTGCGATCTGGCGACGGAAGAGCCACAGCATGTCGATATGGATTGAACAGCGCATCAGCGATGTGACCTTGACCCTGTCCTTGATCTTTCCAAATGCTTCCTCCATCTTGCAGAGCGGCTTGATGTAGGGCAGACTGCCAAGCTCCTTGATGTTCGTCTTGGAGCAGAGAACCAGGCCCTTGACATTGGCCTTTTCTGCAGCATGGAGGTAGACGCAGGGGTCGCCATCACACCATTTGTCGTCGCTGACTGGCGGAACAACAACGACAATGTCTGCCATGCTGTACGCCCTGACTATGCCGTCGCAGTCGTCGATCGACAGGTTGACGGGCTCCGCGCCCTGCTGCTTGAGAAGGTGCACAAGTTCGTTCTCCTTGTAGAAGCCGACAATCACCCTGTGGAAGTGCTTACCCTTCATCTTCAGGATAGTGTGGGCAATCATATACCCAGAGAAAAAGTCGCATCCGGTAACCAGGATCGACTTGCGGTCAGAGCTGTTGATAATCGACGAGAATGTGTTCATTTTATCCGAATGAAAGACGAAAAGCTATTTGATGTTGTTTCTTTGTCTGAAGAGCAGGCTGAAATTATGTTTTCAGGCGTGAGATGTGCAAGGTATTTATACTTTTTTAAATACATTTCTAAACGGTTCTAAACATTGGTGATCCCCAAATATCAACGTGTCGTATACAAAATATGGCGAGTATAAATTTCCCCCTTATCCGCGCTACGTGGTTTCCTTTTTCGAATTTCTTATCAGCGAGAGATTTGATATTTTCTGTGTTCATCTCTCTCTATCTTTTGACAAGTTTTGTTTTAAGTACTCTTCCTTTTTCTTTTGACCAATTTCCCTTTAGAAAACATGCCAAAAGATATTATCAACGTTGGTGTCGTCGGATTTGGAATGTCTGCACGCGTTTTCCATTGTCCGTTGATTTCTGCGAGCGACAAGTACGAGCTTTCCGCCGTTGTTGAGCGCCATTCGGAGAATAGCAAGAGCGTTTATCCGCAGGTGCTCATTGTCAGGGACATTGATGCGTTGCTGGATATTTCCGACATTGATCTTGTCGTTGTTACAACTCCAAACGACACGCATGTTCCATATGTCCGCAAGGTGCTTGCTGCTGGAAAACACTGTGTTGTGGAAAAACCCTTTACTGTGACCGAAAAGGAGGCACGCGAGTTGGATCTGCTTGCGAAAAAGGCAGGAAAGGTGCTGAGCGTCTTCCAGAACAGGAGATGGGATGGCGATTTTCTGACAGTCAAGGCGCTTCTGTCTGAAGATGTCCTCGGCCGCGTGGTTGAGATCGAGAGCCGATTTGATAGGTATCGCACCTTCAAAAAAGAAAATGCTTGGCGCGAGGTAGGCGATTTCCCCGGAAGCGGCGTTTTGTACGATCTAGGCTCACATCTTTTCGATCAGATCGTCGAGCTCTATGGCACGCCCGAGTATGTTACGGCTACCCTGCGCAACGAGCGCCAAATCCAGGGCGCCCCCGACGACTCATTTTTGGTCATCCTTGACTATCCGTCAAAGAACTTTAAGGCCGTATGCCGCGCAGGCATGCTGGTTCGCGATCAACCTCCACGGTTTACGGTGTATGGCACACGTGGGACATTTACAAAGTATGGCTTGGACGTGCAAGAGGAGCAACTTAAGCAAGGAATCTCACCACGCAGCCCCGCGTTTGGGAAGGACAAGGCCGACAAGTACGGCATCCTTGACTCGGAAATACATCCAGGTATCCACATTACTGGCACTGTCACCACCGCCGACGGCAGGTACCAAGAATACTATGACAATGTCGCAGGTGCGATATCTGGGAACGCCAACCTGTTAGTCAATGCTGACCAGGCTGCCAACGTTATCCGGATTATCGAGCTTGCAAAGCAAAGCAGCAGCGAGCGTCGTTCGCTTGCCTTTTAATCATACGTTTCAGCAAACGGAGAAGCACAATGATGGCAGCAGCGAGCCGCCTGCGTCAAAGACCCAAAACTATTATCGATATCAGTAGTCTATGAGCTGTATTTGGAAGTTGGCGAAATTAAAGAAAGTTGAATATCGTCACTTGTTTATTTATTTATCGTCACTACCCGTCCGAGTAACCAAAAATGTCAAAGGCTTTGGATAGTCTTGTGCGTGAGCGCTATGCAAGTGCAATCGCCCAGGGCGCGCTTTTATTTTCAGAATCGACGGTTCATCTAAAAAGGGAAAAGAGCGTACAATTTGAAATCCGATATGTGCCTGCGCTTGCGAAAAAGCCAAGTGCAAAGCCAAAGGAGAATCTGGAATCGAGGGGCTTTGTCAACCCATTCCTGCCATTCGATAAACGGCTTTTTGTCCAGAGCCTTGGATCATCGCATAACCTGCTATTCAACAAGTACTGCGTGGTGCCATACCATCTGCTCATTACGACCGCGGAATTTGAGCAGCAAGGCGAACCGCTTTCGGAAGACGACTTTGGCGCCGTTCTAGATACGTGTAACAACATCTCGCGCCAACACATTGTGTTTTACAATTCTGGGGAGGAGTCTGGGGCAAGCCAGCCGCACAAGCATCTGCAGTTGTTGCCGATGCCCGAGAATCTTGACATGCCGCCATTACTCGGACTTTGGCGTAGCGAGAGACCGCCGCCGGGCGTTGTGTACACCGCAAACAGCCTGCCGTTTGCGCACTTTGGGGTCTGGCTGGGCAACGCAACGCTTACACCGTCTGCGCTTTTAGAGGCGTACTCTTCCGCACTCAAGGCGTTGACCGACAGACATGGAAACAATGCATCCTACAACATGGTTTTGGTTGCGGACACACTCGTATTGTTTCCCAGAAGGCGCAGTAAGTGGCGCGGGATAGGCGTAAACTCGCTTGGGTTTGCTGGCCTGTTTCTTTGCAAGTCAAAGGAGGAGATGGCATTGATAGAAGGCGTAGGCGTTTTTGACATACTAACAAACGTCGGAGTCGCTGTCCATTAACTAGACCAAAAAACAATAAAACTGTTGGCTAAAAACCAAAACCAGGATGGATAAAGTGGTTGATCAGTGCTTGCTGGCTTGCTTGCTGGGCTTGAATGAATCCAGGATCAAGGTTGACGATCATTCCCTGGTTGTTGATCGGAATGAAGACGTTGTCGTCGCCAGCCAATGCAGGACCATCGTTGTTTGATATCTCATTAAAGGTAGGATCAACAAAGTTGTTGTCGCTGACATCGGTGTTGTCGTTGACCTGCGCAAGAGAGTTGCCGACCGGGTTCAAGATTGTGGCATCGTCAAGAGAGAGATCAGGATCCATCGATCCCTCGCTCAAGGCGCCGTTGTTGATCGTAGGATCGTTCACCGCCGCAGGAGCGTTGACGTTGCTGACGTCGACAGGTGCCTCACGCTTAAACGCAATGTTTTGAGGACCATTGTTGTCTCCGGGTGTTAGGACTTGGTTTCCGCTGCCGACAATAGCGCCGCCCTCGGTGTTTGACGCAAGGTTGAGCGTTGGGTTAGAGACGATATTGTCATGGAAGTTGAAGTTGTTGTTTTCGTTTGTAAGCGAATTACCAGAAGCGCCTGCTATGACTGCACCGTCAAGCGACAAACCAGAGTCAATGGATCCTTCCTCCAAAGCACCGTTGTTGATGTTTGGATGGTCTACAGCAACAGGGCCGTTGACTTGCTTGCTTTCTGCATCAGAGTCACCAACAAAGGTCTGCCTGACAGCTAGAGGGGCGGCACAAGCGGCGGCGATAAGAGTAGTGAGTGCAACAAGACGCATGGTAAGGGAAGATACTGCAGGTAATCAGAGGGCAAGGTCGAAGTACTAGAAAGGTAAGGAAATGAGAAGAAAGGGAAAGAAAAAATGTAGCGCTGCTCGTGTATTTAATAGAAGAGCGTTAACATTATTTCCTAGATAATATGTGGCGTATAGGATTTCTCGTCTAGAGAAAAGTAAACAAACAAACAATATAATAGAAAAATAGTATAAATGTGGCTTTACAATGTGACTCTAACAATCAAACTAATTTCAGATGAACAATATAGAAATCCGTTTCTTTACTAATTTAACTGGCAGCTTTGTTATTTGAAAACAATAGATACGAAACGTGAAAACTGCAATTACTTGGGACCTTGTCCAAGATCGTTGGTTAGCTTGTTGACAACGTCGCCAACCGCTCCGGTGATAGGTGCAAGGGTCTTGAGAACGCCACCAAGAGTACCGTCGTAAGGGACGTGCTCGACGGGGAGAGGTGCAGCAGCAGCGGCGCAGATGAGAATCGAAACGATAGCGTAGAAGCGCATGATTTGGTTTGTTGAACTAGGAGGGAAAATGTCAATGGTAGGGAACGAAGATGCGAATGTCGCCAATGTCGCCAAAATCCTCTCAATTTATCTCTTTGAAATGTTGGTCGACGGTGTGGTGTTTTGTCGTGTCCGCGTACCTAAAAGAAATATGCAAAGTAGTAACACTAGTAATATCGAAAAGGGATCGATTATCGACTTTACGGAAACAATTGTGTGCATTGAAAAAGAAACACAAGCGCAGAGTCCCTACAACGATTGAGAAAGAAAGTAACATTTTTATTTTTAAAGAAAAAATTGTGAAACGCGCGTCTCCTATTCGAAGCAAAAAAGAAGAAAACACGGTCAGTGTTGAGGGAATGGTCCAGGGTATAGCTGGACGGGAGAGCCCGACCATCTCTGCATGTGTTGTTGAGCGTGTGCCAACGTCCTGGGCAAAAATCCACTGGCATTCGCTGCTATACACGCTTCAAGAGGCTTCGTCTGCGCTTCTCCTCCAAGGATGTCGGGGGTTTCGGTTTGCAGATGCTCCGTGCGCGTTGTGGCCAACTCGTGGCGCTGGGAACACGCTAAAAAAAGAAAAAAAAAGAAGATAGCATGCTAGCAGTTCAAACAAAAATCATTCAATAAAAAAAAAGCAAAAAGTAGCACCTCCTGGTTTCGATCCAGGGACCTGCGAGTTATGAGCCCGCCACTCTTCCTCTGAGCCAAGGTGCTTTTCGGCAGAAACCAATCTAATCTCAGCCGTGGAGTGTTCTTATTCCCACTTGAAAGAGATACAAGACACCGTGACAGCAGAAGTCACGTTTTTAACAAAAACCGAGAAAATTACCCGCCATTACGCCCGCCGACGCTATCCACGGTCTCGCTGTCTGGGAACTCTACCGAATACACGCCGAACTATTGCAGGATGACATCCGCCGAACGGGCGATTAAATGTTCATCCGCTGGAAATCGATGGTTACCCTGCACATACTACAGGATTTCAGCTACTTCTTCAATCGGGAAAAGGCGGCCCAACTCTTTCATGATCGCTGGTTAAAGGTGTCTAACCGGCGGTACCATTTTGAGCCAGGCGGGGGACGAGCTCAGCGGGACTCTTTCATTCCGCAACTCGCCGATCACCGACAGCCGCCTAAACTACTTCATCCACTCTCATTCGGGTCAATCGGGTTTCGACACCACCGATAGCCCTTCCGCCACTCCTCCATTCCTTTCATCCGCCTAAACGGCAACGCAGTCTCATAACGTTAGAGGCACCCCAGGTTTCCATGTCAAGGCCTTTTCATTTCAATTAGTTTTGCCAGGGTTGTCCAAATATACCTGCGCTAAGCTGCTGCGCCAAGCTGCTGCGCCAAAAAAAAGTCACGTTTTTTTTTTCTATTTCCGAGATTACTTCGCTCAATTGTCAGCGAGTTCTTGGCAGTTTTGGATTCCGTTATATAGTGTTTTCCCGCCTGACATTCTTTTTACTTTGTACTTTATATATTTTTTTATCGTTCTTGACATAATTCTTAATTCTTAATTCTGGTAAAATGCCAAGCTCATCAACGTCCAGTGCTTCTGGCCAGCGCGTGGATAGTCGGGACAGAAGCCGGGAGTCGTTGCTGCTCCAGGAGCCGCCGCCAGAATACTCTCTGCTCCCGCGCGACGACGAGACATACATAGATGCTGGTGCTGGCGCACCAATAGTCCGTGCACAACCGCCGCATATAGTGGTCAACCCGTCGGACCCGCGCAGCCAGTACTCGCAGCATTATTTCAGCAATGGGGGTGCCGCTCCTCGTCCTCCTCCTGTGCCGCCTAGGCGGACAGATACGTCGTCTGGCCCCATTCCAGTGAACCCGAGGCTGCCGCCACGCTTGAACGTGGGGTACGAGCAGATTGAGACTGCGCCGCACCTGACTCCTCGACAACACAACTACATGCACTCTTCATACCCGCACTCCCGACGTGATTGGATGAGTCCGGTTGTTGTATCGGGCCCATCCACCCAGCGCAACAGAAGCTATTCGGCTAGTCGGTACTCACCACCACAAGTTACATACAGTGTCGTTTGTCCAAACTGCCGGAACACTGGCTGGGTTAGCAGCAGGATGCCCTGCACATGTCCTGTGGGCAATGCCGCCATCAATTCAGGCTCACGACCCTATGGGTCTTCGTCGCTGCTTGGACTCTTGGACGACATTCTTAACCCAAACTCTCGTTTCTACGCCCCGCATTCAGACCATAGGGGAGGAGGAGGAGGAGGCTACTACCGTTGAGCAACAGAGCTTTTTTTCATTTGTAAATACGGCGAAAAAGTAAAAGTAAGATTGAAAGACTGAAATATTAAAAGTAAATCTCTGCTCACGACGCGGCCTGGCGCCGGGCAGTGCCGATCTGGCAAGAGTTGACCTTTGTTGCAAACTGGAGCGAGCAAAGTGACTCTTGCGTGCTGGCTGGGCTGGGGTTGATGCACACAAACATAAGTGTTTTTGAGTTGCCAGCGCCCAGCGACTCCTGCAGCAGATGCGTCAGCTTCGAGTTGCGGTAGGGGATGTGGCGGTTCCCCTTGGCCAGCGCTGCAATCACGTCGCCAAGACAGGCCAGTGACTTGTTGATGGCTTGGGTTTCCTTGAGGCGGTCCCCGCTGGATCCCGACATAGCCAGGCGCTCAGACCCCGCGAGGTCGATAAGATTCAGCACGCCTGACGACGACTCGCCTGTCAGGCTGTTCTTTCCGCGGAGATAGAGCGTAAACACGCTGTGCGAGCGAGATGACCGCTCGTTGCAGTTGGTTGCCGCAACAGTGCGGTTCTCGGCTGCCTTGGTCAGGAGCCAGTGCACCCGTTCGGCGCTGTCGACCTTGACAGTAGTGACGTTCTTTACCCGCGTGTGGCCCTCGCTGTCCTGGTAAATATCCAGCTTTGTCTGCTTGCCAGTCGGCGCAAGAAGGTCCTGCAGCGTCTCGTTGTAGATCTCCAAAAACTGGCCCTCCAACGTGTACTCCCAGCCGCGCTCAGCAAGCTTGCCTGTATTTTCGTAGATCTGCCTGACAGCGCGTGGGATGACTCCGAGGCAGCCGCGCTCAGTGCCTGGTCCGAGCGAGTCAGGGCCCTGCATCGTGTGGGTTTTGCCGCTCCCCGTCTGCCCATAGGCGAATATACACACCGGATATCCATCCAGCGCAGACTGAATGAGTTGCGACACATCCTCAAAGACATCGTCTTGGGTCGACTGGGGCGCAAACACGCGGTCGAACTTGAACGGAAAGTTTTTGGAGGTGGTCTTCCCCAGTGCACTCTCGGATGATTGGGACAGTTCGATTTCATTCTTATCTTCGCATTCCGGGAGGCTGACAGGCAACACCGCGTCTGCATCCTTCTCTTCGCCAACCAGCGGACGAACGCGGCAGAACACGCGAATGTTTCCCTTGAGCTCCTGGATGGTGTTGTGCAGCCTCCGCCGCTGCGTCTCCTCCTTGCGCAGCTTAGTCTCGAGCTCATCGACCGTCTGGTTGCGCGATGCAACGTCCTCTTCCAGCTCTGCAATGCGGATCTCGCGCTCGTTGACTCCATTTTCCAGGTGCTCGACCTTGGCCTTCAGGCCGCGATTGCTGCTCTCAAGCTCAATCTGGTCGCTGGACTGCTTGGATATTGTTGTTTCAAGACGCGCGCTCTCATCTTTCTTTGTTTGAAGGTTGAGTCTTGTGGCCTCCAGCGACTCTTGGAGCTCATTGACCGCCTTTTGCAGCGCGCGCCGTTCATCTTGCAACTCCTCCGTCTGACGTTTGTGCTTGCGCTGTAGCTCATCAATGGCATCCTCGTGCTGCCTCTTTGAATCCAGCAGCGACCGGTCGTGCTCTTCGACTTTCTCTTGCAGCGACTTTACCCGCTTCTCGGCTTCCTCCGCCTTGGATTGCAGGAGCTTGTTGTCGTATTGAAGCTGCGTCATCTGGACGCCATTCTGCTCGAGCTCGACGCTCAAAAGCTTCTTCTTCTTTGTCGTTGTCTTGTTCTTCTTTATCATGTACCGCGAGAACGCCTCAAGGTCTTTCAGTCTCCCATCATAGTCGTTCGCGGTCCGCTTGCAAAGAACAGGAGGCGGTCCGACTTCCTCGTCCTCCTCCTCGTCGTCATCCTCCTCCTCCTCAGTGTCATTCCCCGCTATTGCTTTACCGGCGTTCTCGTTGGTCTTTGAGGTCGCTTTCCCAAAGAGGGGGCTGGCGTCCAGGCCAGTCGGAACTGCAAGGCGTTGGCGCTTAACGCCCTCTGGAGCATGTATCCCTCCTGTGACTAGCTTGTTAGCACGTCCCTGTGTAATCGAAGTTCTAGCCGGAGGCAGTCTCCGACCCACCCCAGGCTTGGCAATCTGCCTTGCAGGAAGTGGACGCGGTATGGCGCCAGTTGTAAACTTGGGCCCATCGCCAGCATTCTTTGGATTGCGTTCTTGCTTTGGTGTTACCTTGAAGCCCTGAGACGACCTTCTCCCCGCATGAACCGTATCCGCACGCGCGCCATCAAGCGTCGAGGTTGGCATCTTGACCTTTCTGTTTGCCGCCGGTATGTTTGACAAGGCACTGACCTGATGCACCTGTGGTCCCTTTGCAACCTCCTTGCGTTTATTATTGCCAAGGTCGGCGGTGGTGATTTTACTTGGTTGCCTCAGCATCGACCCAGGCGGTTGCAGCTTTGATACCTATGTTTTCAAAACAAAATAAAACGCCTTTTTAGAAAAAGCAAATAAACAGCGAATTTGCAGCAAACGCGCTCCTTTTCTCGCAAACATACCATCGCGTCTCTCCGTTTTTACGACAGGATATAAAATTATAAATTGGTGGAAACGTTAAAAGAGTTGAAATATTTCAAAAGTGTTAAATAAAATAGGTCAGAAAGAGGGAGGGGAAAATTTTGTAAACAAACCGCTTTTCCCCCCTAACGTGATTCGCATTTTCACTTATTGTAAACAAGGATTAGGCTCGCGTGATCAAACTGGAGTAATATCAGATCAAGTGATAAATGCAGCTGCTACTTTTGAGCGTATACTTGGCTTGCACGTGCGCTGCCAATGTTTAGAATCCTTGGACATCCGTCACGATCCTTCTCTAGCTTGGTGCACTCCTTGCAGTAGTACGCGTCCGATACTCCTCGTCCTTTGCAAACAATGCACTGGCTCTGGGACTTGCCAAAGTTGCACTCGTCGCAGATATGAACAGACTTGTCTTGGTTCACCAGCGAATCGCAAATGACGCACTTTCCGTCGCACTTTTCGCAGAGCTTGCCTATCGCTATTCCTGACATCTTGCGACAGTACATGAGATCACGGTGATGTCTGGCCATTTTCCTTTGTGAATAATAGTAGTTATAAAACAGGGTCAATTGAAACAGGCTGGTGGTAAGACTTGATTGAGTGTTGGTTTATTTTTGATTGCTTGGCTGGGCAATTACACGTTGCCTCCCGTGATCCCCACTGGCTCTCAATCTTCGTCGCTGTAGTTGCTGCTCGATCCTGGCGTTCCAGTCACGATTTCTACATCTTCCGAGCCATTCAACTCGTGCGAAATGTCGGTGGCCTTTTTCCCGGCAACAACCACATCCTTTTTTGACTCACTGATCTTACAAAGCACATGGCGGTAGTCATCTTCAGCTTGATCCAAGGTGATTGTGCCAACGGTGCTATACAGGGAGCTAAACGGACCCACAAATCCCATTTCGGTGGCGCTTTTCTCCTGATCC